GTTGGACTGGATGGCTATACTTTGTTTCACCTTAGGCCAGAGCGTGGCCGATGTTATGAGCCGAAGGGCTAATCTAACGGCGAAAAAGGCGCACTGTCATGGCGTGCTCTCCGCAGTTGATAGGACCAGCGGTGTTCGCCGTCTTTCAGTGCATGCTCCTCCGCCGGCTTGTCCTATTAAGAGCGGAGAACGCCATGACGTTGCGCTTTTACGCTCTTTGATCGGACCTTCGGCTCATAAGAACGGCCACACTCGGACCTAAGCTGAAACCAAAGTACAGAGTTTCCGATCATTTAATATTTTATGAAAACACGAGTTGCTAAAACTCGCCAATACCTCGAGCTATCACGGTGGGGTGAATTATTTTGGGCAAACGTTCTTTGTATTTATCTCTTTTTTAAATTTTTAAACTTTGATTATGCTTGCATCCATAACGTCCAAACAAGTTCACTTTTTTTTTTTAATGTAGAGTGCCGCGGTGTTTGTAAAACATTGTGTATTTAAAAACTTGTCATAATTTTTTTATTGTGCTGGGCGAGTGATATTTAATAGCATTTTGTTAAATTACCTAAGCTCCAAGGGCCATGCGAGAGTGTAGTTACATGCGCTGTACGTGCTGGCGTCTTCAGCAGTGACTGTTCTAAAGCCAAAGCCCAAAACAAAATGGCAATTTGCACGCGTGTTTATTTACGCCTTATTTTAGTTATTTACTTAGAATATTTTATGCAAATAGGGCGAGCTTGGGTGGGGGGTGTATGTACTTCTCGCTTAGATGCGTAATTCACCTGACAGTCATGATGTAAAGGCATTCCGAACGCACTTCTATTCTTGCTATAATCTGACAATTGAAGGGCAAGAGGAGAACAAATAATTCATGGATGAAGAAAGAATAAATAATTAAAACAGGGACAACACAACCACATCTTTCAACTAGCAACAGACGAGTAAACTTTCAACAGCGATCAGCCGACTATACCCAGTAGGAGTAGGGGGGAGAAGGGGAGAGAAGGGAAGATAAAACACGCGAAGTGCAAGTCAGGGTGGTAGGGTTATCTCGGATTTTAAAAATTCAAGCTCAGTTTTCGTCAGCAGGAGGGAAGGGTTTGACACGTTGTTTTTTGCTGTGGTCATGGCGAATGATTCTATGATTTCCCTGCCGAATCTGCTGTCATGCCCCCCAAGGATTTTTATGTCATCAAAGAGGGGATGACAACGCAAACACGAACGGGCATGTATGACTATGGGATGATAAGAATCTGGAGAGGCCTTAGAAACTTCGTTGTGATGTTCGCGGAGTCTGTGATTCATGCATCCGCCGGTCTGTCCTCTGTATTGATGGCCACAGCTCAAGGGGATGGAGCAAACTTTCTTCTTTTTGCATGGAATGAATTTCTTTTCGTGTTTGACAGTGCAGCCAATCGGAATCCGGTTGTTGTTTACTTGTCGACAGAGTTGTTTAAGACGCATGCGGCACGAGAAGACAACATTCGTGTCGAACTTTGAGGCAATGTATTTTATCCGATGGGCTGAATTGTGTACGTAAGGAATGACGGCGAATCGGGCTTTCTTTTTTGTGGCTGGTGACTGGCGATCAGGCCCGCGAATCATCCTTTCCATTACTGATCGGAGAAGGTCGACGGGAAACCCTGCCCTGACAAACCTCATGTGCTGCAATTTGAAGCTATCTTCTGAAAGATCACAGCAAGACTTTGTGAAGGATGAAGAAAACAACGATTTGATGATACCGTGTTTTACCGACTTCGAATGGGCGCTAGAAAACGGTAGGACATTTTTGGCAGACCTTTATTTAAAGGCCCAGCAGAGTCCAGTGGCACTGACATGAAGCCGCAAATCTAGGTACTGAAGACCTTCATTCGATGGTTCTTCCTTCGTGAATGTAAGGCCATCCATGACTTGAACCAACACGCTCTTCTACCATGCAACAAATAATTGTTGTTGTTTTGAGTTCTGCTCGGATAGCTCTTTTTCTCAGAAAACAACAGCCAAAAACCTTTCCGTTTTCTAACCCGTTAAAGTTCATCTAGCTTCCAACGATTTGAGCCTACGACAGAAGACATCCGAACATGAATTATCTAGACGTTTCTCGGAAAGTTCTTCTCAAAGTAAAAATAATAAACACAAAAACTTCCAAAAAGTCATGCGAGTGACGATTGTAAACTAACGGATTTGTTATTTTCGGCGCTAGTCGGAACATCTGTCGAACCTTTGGCGCTAGTCACAAAACGTGCAAGGTCTTGGAGAATACCGAGCATCTAATTATCCCTGCTCAGTCAATGACATTGCAGCATTAGAGAATAAAAAAGAATTAAAAAAACTGATGATGAAGGAAAAAGTAATAACGTACAGCCTAACAATTTTACGTGTTTTTTTTTTGTTTTTTTATCACCGCTAAAAATAAACAGTGCATCGTTGAACTCTCACTCTTCGCCGAAATGTAACGCGAGAGGTCCGAACCGGATACCAAAGATTCCAAAACAACCGTTCTCTCATTCAAAATGTTACTAAAAATTTTAATGGGAAAATTGGTTCTGTTTTGGCCCGTTTTTGGTAACTTGCACCATTCAGCTCTATGTCTTCCAGAGTTCCGTCGGCCGCCATTTTCCTATTTAAATTTTCAAAAAAAATCGCTTCTAACTTGTGAATAAGATAACTTATTTCTCAAACATTGACATTCGGTTGGAGAATGAGCGTTCTGGGGTGCTAGTTTATTTTTGCGGAAAAAAAAAGAACTTTGTAAATATTTGGGCAGACCCAGTATATAATAGGCCACGCCCTGTAATTCTTCAAGAGGACAAAACAGCTCTGGGATCCTGTATTTTTCTTATGGCAACTTTTTGGTCCTTATCTTTAGTAACTATCTGAACCTATGAACGGCAAAATGGCTGTATTCGAAGGATTATAAAAAGATTGTTTTACCTATTTGGAAATATTTTTTTGTCTTTCTGAAATAGTGGTTGTTATTTTTTTGCCCTAATTCATAGGAAAAAAAAGTTTGAGCTTCCAATTTAGAATTGTCCCAGAAACTAAATAAAAACTAAAGAGGAAATGTCGTAACGCGTGGCATTGTAAAATTGCTTTGTGAATGTATAACTGCTAAAGGATTTTCTTTTTTAACCAAGAGCAATTGTAATTGTATTCAATAATTTTTTTTCAATAACGTCAATAGGAATTTGTATCATCGCGCGTAAGTTTCGTGTGTTTTTCATTCTGAATAATAAAGGTCTGAATGTGCGGTCATAAAAAAAAACATTAACATTGATAATGGTAAAAGACCTTGTCTGATTCTGAGTTAGTGCCTTAAATACTTTTTTTTTCGCAACTTTCTTTCGCAACTGACATTTCCCTAGTAAGATATTTTATATGTATCAGATATTTTGGTTCAATAAACGCATAAAATTAAATAATTTTATATAGCAGCTTATAGGATCCTTATACGAACATTTAAGAACAAAAGAGCATGGAAAAATTATAGGAAACTTCTTATCAGTTTCTTATACCTTCTTATAACTCTGGTAGTGTTGTTATATGTGATTATATGGTAGTATTGATCATATGCCCTTATTGGACTAAAAATGTATTACACATTTAAGATTTTTGACTAGGGTTGATACATTTCCTAAATTATTTTCTACCATTGCCAAATCTGCCCTACTAGACAGATTTGGTAATGGTAGCGTCAGCGTAAACAAATGAAGGCAGACGGATGTATATGGTGTTTCTAGGCCTTTAAAAATTGTTTGATGGCGAATCACTTTCCAAATTTTTTTATAATCTTTGCTAGATTTTAAAAAAAAATAGCCAAATTGTTTATTTATTGGCCGCGTATGTGAGAGAATGGAAGCAATTTGTTTATATAACGAAATTTAGATATATACTATATTTATTACCAGTAATCTTTATTTTTTATCAATACTACGTGGCCCAAAGGGCCGTGGTAGTATTGACGTTCCGCAGGGTTCAGAGCTTGGGTTACAAAACAAGACTGATTTCATTTAAACAACATATTTGAATCCAAATCATCTAATTTCATCTATTGTTTTTGTTCATTTTGAGAGAAGACTTAAGAGACTTTTCGCATAAAGTAGGAAATAATTATGCTAAACGACAGGTGGAGCCTACAATAAAAGGGGACGCTTTAAATTCTGGATCGAATGCAAACACATACGTTAATATTTAAGTTTACTATCGATTGCCTATTGCTTAATAATGTACTGATTTTAAGCCCATGGTATATACCTGAGACTTGACCCGAATTAAAAGTTTTGTTGAAAATGTATGTAAATTTTTTAAAGAAACTTTGGTTGTTGAAAACAATTCTGTAACACGTAAAGTCGGTAGTAAAAGACACAGTTCTTAAATTTATTATTTTTGCCAAACATTAATAACTCAAGTCCTGTCTGAGAGAGATGTACCGATCAGGACAATATAATTTAGTAATTATTTAACAAAAATGCTATTTGATTGATAAGCAAGAGTTACGAATAGCCGATTGTGTCACAAAACTCAAGGCAATGTAAAGATAATTACGCTATTTTCTGTATTTTCTAACATTATGAGATATAAGCTTCAAATATATTAAGTTCTCTAAGCCCTATCCTACATAAAATATACAAAAAGCCTTTATATATAAATCAGTGTTGCTACTTGACTGATCCCATCAAACACCTAATTCTCGCCCAATGTATTAATCTGCGCAATAAGCTCGCTTCCTGTCCCTAGATTTATGAAAATCTCAGTATTTCACTCCTGCCCTCGCCTCACGACTGAAGGCATAAACAAATTAATACGTTTTACTTTAGTGAATATAAACGCCTGTTCTCCCCCCCCCCCCCCCCCCCCCCAATTGCATGCCGCCGTGTAAAAAACAAATGCTTAGACCACGGGACTCGACTTTATGATTGCAAGGGATCACGACAAATCATGCACTTTCTCTCAAAGGGACGTAACAGTATCGCGTCAAAATATTTAAGAAGCCTCACCTCGAATACGGAAGTTACTCCAAGTTTGTAGATGACCGGAACAATCACTCTGGAGATGAACGGCATCATAAATAAGGCGGGGATGGTTCCCCAAAGCAAGTGCAGTCCGTGAGTGTAGAAGTGTGCCGTAAAGCCCACCAGGCCGATCGCCGTGACCAACGATGCGAGGATGGACATGGACAGGGGAAGGATGCCCAGAGTCCGACTTCCCAGAAACGTCTCCTCCGTGTTCGAGTGAATTGCGCGACCTCGGAACGCGAATATCAAACCGACGGCGAGGTTCGAAATCATCAGGACTGCGAAAACCACATACTCAGCCACGTGAACCACTGCACCCATTTCGCTCTTTGACTGGCTCGGGGAGCTTCAGAAGTCTCTGACAAAATCGCAGGGAGGCGAAAAGATGTGCAGGTGGGACGGCAGTGGACAAGACGAACCCTTTGATTTTGTCACGATCTCCGACTTGCGTTCATTTTGCTGAAGACTTAGCGAAAAAATATTGTCACTCTAGGCTTCGTTGCGAACGCTTTTTGTTTCCTCGTACTGTCGGTGGTTTCGTTTGCTTGTTCGCTTGCAGTGTTAATGAGGACGAGCTGGCGACAAACAGGGGTATTTTCAATCGTCTCCAAAGAACTCTTTATCTTAATGTTTTACGTAAGTTCCGGCCTCTTTTGCGATAGTGATGAGTGGAGAATACAATCGGTTCAGGGCGTCAATCTAACTCCTCGGCCTACCCACCTCCATTCTGAGATAAGTTCTGAAGCTGAGTGATCACAGATAAAGGAAGCATGGCTGTTTTTAGAGGAGAATGAGGATATTACCCACACGCGTATGACGTAGAGGCGCGACCTTTATAGGCTGCGTGTGAAGTCGGGATATTTAACAGCTGCAACAGCTGCTCGCCGAGCTTGCGCTTTATTTCATGAAAATGCGTTCAGGGTGGCGAGGTGGGGTGCATTTGTTTGGTATAAGAAACGCATGTGACTGGGAAGTGTTAGTTCCAAAAATTTTGCAAAACGAAATAGTGCACAATCGAATACTGTAAGCAGCCATTCAAGGGTAGTCAACGTGCCAAGATATGTAAGTTGGTAAGCTCCACAGAACAGCGTCGTTCGAAAACGGTTTTTCGATGTTGCCGGCACGGGAGAATAGACACGGGTGAATAGCCTTCATAACGCCACCAGCGGCAACCCCTTCACTAGCAACGAAGAAAGACCGTTTTCGAAGGACGGTTTGTTTGCGCAAACGTTTGAGCAATCTGTATGTTTACCGTAAAAACCAGAATCACTTTCCACCGCAGGCTGAAAGTGTCACGAAACGACGCCAGCCGTTCGAAGCATTTCAACTGACTTTGAGCTAGTAACGATGAACGCAGTATTCGTGAAAAGCACCTCCACATTAGTCACTGGCAGGACTAGAACGGCCGGGAAGTCCTTTCAGGTCTCCCGTCTCCAGTGCGAGCTTCCTACCGTTGAAGACACATCGGCGTCTTGTGAGCGTCGAGCGTGCAGCTGCCACAAAAATATGACGGAGGGCAATGAGCGCGTGTGACTGCAGGAACGGATTTAATTTACGACGGTGGCGAATGAATCACCCACTCTGTGCAAACTAACCCCCTGCACACTTCGCCAAGAAAGCAGGATTTGTCTGTAGAATTAAACCTGACAACTAAAACACACACAAAAAAAAGAAAGAAAAGAAACAGAAAACATTAACTCACGCGCCACAGACAGAAATGAATCCCCAGTTCTCTTAGAGGGATTGTCCGGCGACACACGGAAGTTACTACGTTTTGGCGTTGGTCACGTATAGACCTTTCCAGCGGCAGTCTCAAACGAAGCGATTTACAGCGCGAGTTTCTGGTTTTGAGAGTGTAAGTCAGTTTTGCCCGACTGCGCTGGGCTGTGGGTTTTCTCGTCAGTAAGCTGTGGCAGCCTGCGTAGGCGCACTTCCGGACGCTGGTAGCGGCTAAATTGCCTCGTTTTATTTTTTAGTTGTGTTCTATGGCGAAGAGAATTTCTCGGGGTTTTTAAGAAAGCATTGCACTATTTTTGGGAACAAAAAGAAACAAATGAAAGCTATTTTTGGTGAGTCCGTGCGCAACAGAACATATGCAACTGGAATGTGTGTTTCATTTTATGTTGATTTTTTTACGGCACCATACACTTAGCCGTGTCAATCTACAAAGTTCTTAACTGCCGAAAATATTTGAACACACCACAAGATAGCCCAACTGCATATTCCCCGCTCACAACATAAAATTCAACGAGTGTCATCAATCGAACAACATATATTGTACGTACCCCACGGTGCCGCGTTATTCGAACAGGATTTGAGAAAGGTCTCCGATAACACAGCATATCCAATATACAGTGTCGACGATAGTCACTTCACGACGATGGGACGTAATATCCGATTTGTCTTAGGGCCCGTTTTGAAGGGAGTGTTTTTTTTACACAGCACAAAAAATAAATGAACGAACGTGTTTACTTTGTCCCCATACCCCGGACCCTGTCAGCTATTTGTCGCCAAGACCGGGAACATAGCCGGGAAGGCCCCAAAGGAAATAATCCTCGAAGAACGTCGAACTGCCTGCGTCGCGGGCTGCTCGACGTTTGCTTTCTTCGTTCGTTTCCTGCGAAGGCCGAGTAGGCTACGAGCCCTGGTATTCATTGATTCTCACAGTGGAACATAACAGAAAACACGTAATCATCCTGAACAGGCAAATGAAGTAAAACGTTTCAAGGAAAGCCGGCGAACTCCGAATGCCCAATGCAGGTGGGGAGTCGCGCTTACCGGGTTTCCACAGCTCAGGCGCGTGGCAGATATTTCTGGCTGATAGAAGTCGCTCGAGTCGCAAAATGGCGGCGGCCAGAGGGCTCTTTTTCGAAAGGTCTATAGAGAGACTAAAAATAGACATATGCAATATTTATTTCATTAAAATAAACGTCCCGATATTCCTTAAGTCAATCATAAACATCAGTACGAAACTTCACGCCAAATTTCGCAAGTATGTATGGCTGGTCGCGTGGTGACGTCACATCAGGCATGGTAACGTCAAAGTCGCGGGCGTTGACTTGTTCCCGATGGTGATCAACGTGGTTGATGGTGCGCAGAAAGATCATCATCGAAGAATTGAGCTTCTCACAGCGCCGTATATCTTGTCTTTCTTAGAACGAAATTCTTTTACTGAGACAGCAGTCATGAGTTGAGGTGGTCACGTCAGAGCTTTGCAGTTGCCAATGAAAACGCTGTGTGTTTCGCAGGTGCAATCTGAGCAGTTGGGCTCCGCTTAAAATTAAATTTGATGTGTTGCGGAAATTCAAAAATTCGGATATCGAGCGGATGGTGTTCTTAAAGGCAACGACAATATAGTTTAAATGTTTTCTTAAAGACATATTTTACCGGACAGTCCCTTTAAGCGGCACCACACGTGCCTATCCCACGTGTTCAGGTGGCCATTCCCGCAATAATATCTCCATTGATTGAGACCGCTGCATGTCGGAATGTTGAAAGATATATGCTCCTCTCAGCGGTGTGTGAGCACATAACCTTGTACTGGCTCCAGCAGCACAAAAAGTGCAAAAGTCTGGAGCACTGTATATGGTTATTTCATGCGGATGCAAGGAGATCACGCATCCAGGCTTCAGTTGCAAACTTAACGACGTCGGCAGAGCACTTTTAATAAAAAAACAACTAATGTAGAAGAAAGGAAGGCGCGCCATTAGAATGAGCTTTCAGGGGTATTCATCTAGACGGCCGTACCAAGGGACCGGCACATCGCAGCAGGCGGTGACGTCCCGGTCCCTTGGTCCCGCCGTGTAGTAAAGCGTTGCAGTGCACGCTTGAGTCTGTGTCAAGTAGTGAGACTATTATGCCCTCGAACAACAAGTAAACTTCCTCGATTAATGCTTCGCTAATTACCGACAGCGATTGCTGTGTCGACGTGCTCTCCCACTGGGCCGAGCCCGCGTTCCGTTTCCGGTCAGGAATAACATGGCGGATTTGACTCAACCTCACTCTCGACTAACGTTTGGTACCTTCGTGTTCGAAAACCTACCCACGTCCGGCGTTGTTCTATCTGGATTGTCACGTGGCATGGCCCATTGGAGTAACTAGGGAAATTTCAAACAGATCCACAGTGGGCGAGTTAGGAAGAAGATGGCGGACCGCGCGCTAGCAGACGACACGATCGAAGGGAGGAGCATCGAGGGAGGAGGATTTGTCGTTACCTTGCATAGCGTTATCTAGGGACGCTAACAACAAGGAACGACAAAAGGCGCCGGTTTGATAGCGCCAAATTAAAAAAAAAAAAAAAAAAAACACGCGAAGAAAAAAAAAATTGTCAAAGACAAAGGTGTCCTTAGGAAGTTGCCTAATCAACGAATTTCTTAAGAGACGAATAGCAGACGATAAAAATACCTTTGGCCAATGCAATGAATGGCCTACATCTAGTTGCAAAGAGCAGAACTCTCACCCCACAATATAGGTGCCATAATCGTAAAATCATAACCATAATCATAATCATGACCCTAAACTGACGTGGTACCCCACGTGATTTTACCGCAATGAAAAACAAAGTTTATACTGTAGTGCTGTCTGTTATTATTATTATTATTATTATTATTATTATTATTATTATTATTATTATTATTATTATTATTATTATTATTCCCCGTTTACTGGTTTATCATGGCTGACAAAACAAAATACTACAGATTTGGTTCTCACTACAAAAGGTCGGCAGCCAGCAGGCAACTTTTGTGGAGTGAGCAAAAATCCCGCGAAAGGTCCTTGCTCACTCCGGCCAACGTCCCTTGCTGAAGCAGGGTCATTAACCCCACACTGACGGCGTCACCTGAAATCACGTGGGGATGCACAGACTTGCTTCGGATCCGATCTTGAGAGGCATCTTTACGCAGACGTCGTCCCAGGTTTGACTCCTCTCATACAGTCGCGTGTGGGCGCGGCGGAGCAACAACGATGCTGGTCCAAAATCAGTTTCTTCTTGGTGTTCAGGCTATCGCCGCGTTTTCGTACCAAGAAGGATGCCAAATTCTTTCCTTCTGTGACCGTCGACCAACTCATTCCGTCCGCGCGGCAACCGCAGCAGCGTGTCTGTGACAGGACGTTTTGCGTGGACTCAGGCTTCATGCATGGTGCGCAATTCAATCTTCGGTTGGCCAGTTTCATGGTTATCGATACTATCGTCAATGGCTTGAAAAGCAGAGGGGCGGCAACAGGATGAAAAAAATTATGAATTTTTTAAATCATAAATTAGACCCTTTCCGAAATTCGGCGCCATCTGGTGGCTCAAATGGCAGTTTAGTTTTTACCGTACCAATGGCGGCAATGATCCTGTAGTCTGCAGTATTTTATCGGACACCGTCACTTTCTCAAATCCGACAAACGAGAATGTGCGTTTCACTGTACCGTTCTTTCTCAATCACAGTCAATGTCGGTGGCGAAAAAGATGCAACCAGTCAGATCGAAGCGCCAGTCCACATAGACGCCTTGGCTATACATCAAGGGGCTTTGAAGCAAATTATGTGGTATTAATAAAGTAACTGGGCCTGAGTTTTAAGTGAATGCTTACGCAGCTCTTGCATTCAATTCCTGCTCCGCATCGCGTTAAAGGGACACTGACACCCCCCAAAATATTTTTTCCATTTTTTGCCAGGCGCTTCATTATGGTGTCGGAGGACTACCCAATTAATATTTTGCAACAGAGTAGCGTATTTTTTTAATAAAGCCAAAAGACGCAACTGC